GAAACAAAAGCAAATTGATGCCATACGAATTTGAGAGTAAATTGGTAGAGAGTAGTAACCGGCTTTGGTCATTTTGATACCACTATCAATAATGGAGAGCATCTTGTTGGTCTTGTCTGTCAGGCTCTCAAATCGAATCTTATCCAATGCCTACACACCACAATCAAATCAAATAAGTTTGAAATTTTAGTCCCATTCCAAGAACATACATGTTAGAATAGAGAGACACGGAGAGGAATAAGACAGATACATCAGCGTTGCTGATGAGTTCACAATGGGAAATCTCCTTGTTGCTGTAGAAAGTGTTGATGATGAGCTTGAGAAGTTGGTTGATTTTGGCTTGGAAGGCAAAGGTCTTTCTCAAATCTCTCACTTATATATGGAAGAACAAGATTGTCAAAAAAAAAAAAAAAATTGAAAAATATTTATGTGTCTTCCATCAAGTATAGGCCTCCAAGTGAGGGGGTTTATGAAGAAAAAATTTATGAATTGTCCTTTTTATTTATCTAAGAAGGGCCCAATGAATAGATTTTAGCCAAATTTTCAATTAAAGGATATTAAAATAATTTGGACATTTAGATCATTTGCACAAGTAATGCTAGGCAAGAGCTAAACGAGGTTTTTTTGGCTATTTTAGACAAAATAGGCTATTTTAGCCACAAAAAATAAAATATCACATCCAACCCATAATCATTACATTCTTCTCTCACAAAAAAAGTCAAAAAAGTCAAAAAGCCAAAAAGCCCTTTCCAAACTAAACTTTTTAGCCCAGGCTAAAATAGTCAAAAAATCAGAGCTAAACGAGGTTTTTTTGGTTATTTTAGCCACAAAAGACAAAATAGGCTATTTTAACCACAAAAAATAAAATATCACATCCAACCCATAATCATTACATTCTTCTCTCACAAAAAAAGTCAAAAAGCCATTTCCAAACTAAACTTTTTAGCCCAGGCTAAAATAGTCAAAAAATCAAAAAGTCAAAAAGTCAATCCACTTCCCAAACGGAGGCACAAAAATTACATTCTCTTTCTCGCTTTCAAATGACAAAGGTTGTCACTGTAGTGCAATTGCAGCGATTTCTTTATATTCTCTCTCGTAAGAAGTATTTCCTTTGATAATAACAATAATTTTAACTAAAAAAAATGTTAATAGGAGTCTAACTTCAACAAATTAATACTAACAAAAATAAAATTAACAACAAAAACCTTAAATTTGTAGGCAATTCGAGCATGGACTGAGTTCAATTCATTTTGACAAGCAAGTTCGGATTGGAGATCAAGCTTTGGCGAGCATGAGCAACTTTCAGCCAAGCATAACTCGAGCTAGGTTGGATGGCGTCTCAATCTGTTGGAACCTGCTTGGATTACACTCTTAGATCATATTTGTTTGGCTCTTTGGAAAGAGAGGTTGGACTAATAGTCTATGAGATCCACCTAAAGAGTGTTTGATTAGGGACATGAGTGAGAGGATTAATTATTTCCATAACTAGTAATCCTCCCATGTGATAGGACTAGTAAAGCCATGGGAGGGTTGAGATTAGAAATTGAGGGAGGGAATTAGTAAAATTTTACATGATTTTTAAGCAAAAATTATATTTTTTACAATAAAAATAATAATTGTAATATTTAAAAAATACTAAAACTTAAAAAATATTAATTTTATATATTAATATTAGAGTATTATTAATCCAGTGATGTACAAACAAACACTCTTTATCCTACGTCTCTAACCTAATTCCATCACATTAATAATTTCCCCACTCAATTCCATCATACTCTTAGTCCCCTCCATTTTATGGAGCCAAACAAACGTGACCTTACAGTCACATCATTCGATTAAGATTTTTATATGACAATTTAATTGTAAATTACTATCATTCGATTAAGATTTTTATATGACAATTTAATTGTAAATTACTATCTATGATCTATTTATGCTTAGAGATAGATATCAGTCCACTGGTCCACCTAACCCGCTAGGGATGGCAATTTAAACCCGGCCCGACGGGGACCCGACCCCCCGTCCCCGATTACAATGGTTTTTCCCCGAAAAATACTCCCCACGGGCCGGGGATGGTATTAAAAAACACATCCCCGATTAATTTCGGGCCGGGGACGGGGATAGCTTTTCCGGCCCCGGACCCGGCCCGGCCCCGTGCCCCGCCCCGTTTCCTCCCCGAAATAAAGCACCTTTATGCACCCACTATCTATTTTTACATATATATTTAATATAACCCTTCATTACCTCACATATTTGCATCTATCTCATAGTCAGACCTGGATCACTCTCTCTCCCTCTCAGACCTCTGTCTCTCTCTCTCCCTCAGACCTCTGTCTGTCTCTCTCTCTCTCAGACCTCTCTCTCTCTCGAAGTTGATCACAGATTCACAGTTCCTCTCCCTCTCTCTCACCCGTTGCTCCACCCCACCACCGCCTCTGCCATTCCACCACCGCCTCTCGAAGTCGATGGCATCCCCCTCACTCACTCACGGACTCACGCAGACTCAGAACAGATCTGAAGAAACCGATCTGAACAGATCTGAAGCGAGGAAGCCCTCCGTCGATCCACCACCGCCACTCGTAGTCGATCGCATCTCTCTCTCTCTCTTACGATATATATATATATATATATATCTGTTGTTGAACACTTTTTTTTTTTTTAAGTTGTTATATATATGTTGTTGATTGATGATAAAAAATTGTATAAATTAGTGTGTAGGGAAAAATTAGGATTGGGAGTTGTGCAGCCGTAATTGTTGACTTTTGCTGAATAGTGTTAACTTTTTAACTTTTTGAGTAACTTTTTGACTTTTTTGCAATATGCCAAACTTAGTATCTTGAATTTGTATGGCCCGAATGGCTTGAATGTATCAAAACGACGTCGTTTTACCCCCAAAACGACGTCTTTTTAAGACATTCGAATCATAAAAATTTGAACTACCAAGTATTGTTGATGCTATACTATAAGTAAGTTATGATATTTGTAGAGTTTGATTACTACAAATGTCATAATTCAATCCCATGGAAGTTTAACTAAAACAAAAAATATACGTCATAACTAAACACCAAATAAGATATAACCTAAAAAATTTGGGAGACTTATGTATAAGTCCTAATAAGTAGACTTATTATTCAAAAAGTCCTCATTTGGGAACAAACTTTTTGCTATTTTAGTAACTTTTTGGCTTTTTACGAAAACATATACAAAGAAGTAGAGAGAGTAATGTGACAATTTATAGTAACTTTTAACTTTTTGGCTAAAATATGTAGTTGCCAAACGAGGCCTAATGACATTTTTCATTAAGCACTATTAAAAAACGTCACTAATTGTTAATTTTCAGTGACAATTTAAAAATTGTCACAAAAAAATCACTAATAATAAGTTTTAGCGACAATTTAAAAAATCGTCAGAAATTTTTTTATTAATTTTTAATTTTCAGCGACAGTTTGAAAAATTCTTCATAAAAAAATTACTAATTGTAAGTTTTAGCGACAATTTATAAAAAAAAAATATAACAAAAAAAGCCATTAATTTTCAATTTTTAACAACATATACAAAAAATATCGTCACAAAAATTATTTTTAATAATAATTTTATTAAGACTTATTTTCAATAGGACTTAATAAGAATTAAGTCTAATTATTAAAACATATTAATAATTTACCCAAAATAATTTAGATCTGAATCAAAATAATTTCATAATCAATTTCATAATAATGCACAACTAATACAGGAATATATTGTTTGGGAACCCTCTTTTTTAGTCAAAAAGTCAAAAAGTTACTAAATTAGCCAAAAAGCTAACAACACATACCAAAAAGTCAAATATTCTCTTTTCTCTTTACTTTTTGCACATATTTTCGTAAAAAGTCAAAAATCATCCCAAACATACTAGTTTTTTTTAACTCATATTTTAGCCAAATAACTAAAAAATTACTAAATTAGTCTGTTCCCAAACGAGGCCTTAAAAGCATTTCCAATAAACTCTTTAAAAAAAGCATGTTAGCTATCATTGTTAATTCTATCATTTTTAATATTTTCAACTGGTTAGTTAATGCAATAGTTATTTTAACATGATTATTCTAAGTTACTTATATTTGGAGAGCCCTAAGAAACATTTTAAACTAATGTGGGTAGATAAATATGTAAAATGAAAGTAACCTTAAAGTACATTAGATATAAAAAAATAAAAATAAGCTAAAATAAAAAATAATATTGAAATTATTATAATAAAGTCATGACTAAACACCATGATAACCTATGACTCAAGACTACCAACTTGGTAATTAGGGGCATATGATAGACACCCAAGAGAATTTCCCATTAACTAATAGCAAATAACATATTGATACGTAATTAGGGATTGTTTGGGGTGTTTTAAATAAGTGTATTTTTTATCTTTTTTAGACTAAAAATTTGAGGAAAAAAATATAGATGTTTAGATTAATTTTTTGACTTTTAATGAAAAAATGTGTATTAAAAAATTATACAAATTAGTGTGTAGAGAAAAATTAGGATTAGGAGTTATGCCGTCGTAATTTTTGACTTTTAATGAATAGGAATAACTTTTTAACTTTTTAAATAACTTTTTGACTTTTTAACAACTTGTCAAACTTGGCCTTAGGGGTTGTTTGGGGGTGTCCTAAATAAGTGCATTTTTTATCTTTTTGGACTAAAAAATTAAGGAAGAAAATATGGATGTTTGGGTTAACTTTTTGACTTTTTATGAAAAAATGTGTAATAAAAAATTGTAAAAATTGATTTGTAGGGAAAAATTTGAATTGGGAGTTGTGCAGCCGTAATAAGGATTGGAAGTTGTGCAGCCGTAATTGTTGACTTTTGGTGGATAGTGATAACTTTTTAACTTTTTGAATAACTTTTTGACTTTTTAATTTTTTTATAATATGTCAAACTTGGCCTTAGTAATAAAAAAAGATAAAAATAAATAAAGTGATTAAATTCTATATAATTATATTATAATATTCTATGTTCTTATTTTATAGTATTTTGGGATCATATTACTCTCACTCAGGGATCATAGCTTTCACAACCTCAAGCAAGCAAAGGCAAACAGATCCCCATTCAATGCTACTCAGAAGCTCATCAACACCACTTGTTCAGTCCCTCTTCTCAGACACTCCAACCACCGCCGCCACCACCAGACTCTCCTCCGTCCACGGTGGTCATCATCATCATCATCATCCCCACCACCTCTGTCTCACCTCATTCTCTTGCAATTCATCACCAATCTCTCCCTCCTCTTCTGGGTCCTCCGATTTCAATCGAAAAACAAACAAACTTACCCACAAAGCCTTTCGGAGAGCTCGATCCGATGGCAATTTAGAAGGGCTAGCCTCAACTTCTTTTGATCTAGGAAAGTTGTGTAATTCGAATAAGTCTTCAATGTTGCGAGCTCCATCGTTCTCTATTTATGCTTCGAATGATGGGTCTGATGAAGAAAATGGTGAGAAAGAAGGGTTAGAGAGGATTGAAGTGCTGGGTAGTGGTGAATTCAGTTTTAGGAAAAAGGGTATGGGTTTGATTGAGGAGAATGATGGTGAAGAAGAAGATGAAGAAGTTTTGAATGAATTTCAGGATTTGGGTATTGGAGAGGTTATTGAACCAGCTAGTCCTCCAATGTATCTTGCCACAGGTCTTGGGATTGGTGGTGCCAGTGCCGGTGCCGGTACCGGTACCGGCGGAGGTGGTGGCAATGTTGAGGAGTATTACAAGAGGATGGTTGGTGAAGATCCTTCCAACCCTTTGTTCTTGAGGAATTATGCTCAACTTTTGCAGGTGAGTTCTTTCTTTCTTAGTTTTAGGGTTATAAATGAATCGAGTTGAGTTAAAAAAAAAATAGCAATTGATTATTAAAAAAACATGGAAGTTTTTTATTTGTTTGTTTGCCTTTGAGTCAATGTTGATAATTTGGTTTTTATAATGAATATATTTTTATTGAACCGAGTTAAAAAAATTAACAAGTGTCAAGATGAGTTTAAATTAGTCTCTTTATATGACTAGTTGACCTTAATGAGCCAAGCACTAGTCTAGCAACAGTAGGTTGATTTGTTTTACTATTTTTAATCAATTATGTTGCTTTTGTTCTTCTTTCAATTTCATATTAATTCTAGTATTTTTTTTCTTCTTCTTGTTTGTGTCTGCAATTTTAATTAGAGTTTGTTGCAAGCACTTTAATTTCTTAATGAATATCAATGATTGTACATGTATTTAATGGAATTGATGTTGAGCTCTAGCATCATCACTTTTCGCACTTGTCTTTGAATGAACATCTTTTACCTATTTCTCATATAGGCCATGTTGGGAGAGTACTTCAAATTCAGAATTAAGAAAAGTTCTAGATTTTACGCACTGTTTGTTTTGGCGAGAAATATTTTCTGAAGAAAACATTTTCACCTTCAAGCATCAACTTTTTATTTATAGGTTGAAATCATACCTCAAAAGCAGAAGTTATACAAAATATCCAATCATCAACAACAGATTAAAACAATTTGGATTGATGGTGCTTTCCCCTCCGTATTATTTCCATTTTCTGGATTGATAAGACCATGAATTGTAGATGAAGGTTGACGAGTATTTGCTTAATAAGATTAACGAGTGATTATTCACATTAAGCTCTAGGAATACTATTTGCTTAATAAGATTACATAATGCAGTGGGAAGAAGCTTTAAAATGATTTTCATGTTTAGGCTTGTAGATGAAGATTTTTTGCACTTTCATGTGTTAGGTTTACAATAATGCTTGAGACCACTAAAAGTGGTGCTCTAAAAGCATCACTAGTGATGTGGCAGTGGACGGGACCCACTGCTTGTGTCTTGTTATTTATTTATTTATTTATTTATTTAAAGTGCTTGCCAACTCATTAGTGGTGCTTTAGAGCACCACTTTTAGTGGGATGTATCATTACCGTTATGTTTAATAGAAGTGAGGAGGATGTTTTCTTCTATTAAATGAAGTCCAATATCTAATGACAGTCTAAGGGAGACCTTCATGGAGCCAAGGAATACTACTTCCAAGCTACATTAGCAGATCCTAAAGATGGTGAAATTTTGCTGTTATATGCTAAATTGGTGTGGAAGCTCCGTCAAGACCAAGACACAGCCTTGAATTACTTTGAGCGGGCAGCTCAAGCTGCCCCTGAAGATAGGTCAGTACTTTCCTTCATTCATCATAGCGTCTTTTTATTTATTTCTTTTATCTGGTTGTGTGCTTTGGAAGGTTGAAAATAGGTCTGCAATTTCTAGATTCGATTGGTCAGAAATTTAGTAGTGTAGCAAACCCCACTTGGAACAGTCTAGTTAATTAATACTTACTAGAATTAACATTTCATTTCTTGTTTCCAGCCACGTTTTGGCAGCCTATGCTTGTTTTCTCTGGGAAATAGAGGAAAACAAAGAAGATTGTTCTGTGAATGATCATACTCAGGTGCTTCTCTACATAACAGTTTTGGATTTACTAGACTCATTTTTTTTGGAACGAAACTAATGCTCCTTTGATATATGACAGATTGAAGAAGATAAAGCTCCCGTTGAAGTTCAGAAGACACCTTTCGAAGAAGAAAAAGAGCCAGTTAGCCCATCATTACATCTTGCGATAGGGGTGGGGATTGCCGTAGCTGTTTTTGGAGGCATTGATGGTGTTGATTGTATTGCAGCAGATTTTGGCAAAGGTGGAAGCATGGAGGATTATTACAAGAGGATGGTAGAGGAAAACCCTAGCAACCCTTTGTTCCTGAGAAATTATGCTCAGTTCCTTTATCAGGTGAGATCTGTTTGTCCTGCTCTCTCTCTCTCTCTCTCTCTCTATTTAGCTTCTCATGTTGTTTAAAAGCCATATTTTAAAACACATGAGCCACAGTAAGCAAAGTGAACATCTCAGGCGGCGAGCATTTTGATTACTGTTCTAAGAGTAAGCTGCCAAAGAATGAAGTATGGTGGATAAACTCGGACTATTTTCTAACTTCCAAAAAAAATATAGAGAAGTCTCACAGAATCTCTTTCATGTGTTAGCAATACTACATGTGTTAGCAATGGTTCTCTATGCAGAACTTCGAAGTAAAGCATTGATTATAACTCTACTGTAAGCAGAGTAGAAGAGTTCCAATGTCGTCTTAATATTCATACAGAAGTCAAATCTCTGGATTTCACTGTGGTTTGGATGAAATTGAAAAGTAATGTTGAAATGATAATATCTGTCTTTACCTTACTGATATTTCAAAAGGGCGTCAGGTGAAGGATTTCAATTTTTAATATGGTTTGACAGGATTTGTGATCTTGAAATGATATTTTGAACCTCAATCCTGTAATAGTAAATTTTCTTACTGATGTATTGTGTAAGTCTTGATATCACCCCAAACCACATGGGAACAAGCATTGGGAAGATGAATAAATACTGTGTTTCTATACATTGCACATCTCTTGGTAAAGTTCTTTCGTAATTGAAGATATGGACTTGGATCTTATTTTTTACTGCATGATAGAGCATGATGACCTAATCATATGAATCTGTATAAAACTATGCTTACTTGTTTGTTTCTTCTTGTGAATAACTTATTTGTTCGGTTAACAGTCCAAGCGAGACCTTCAAGGAGCTGAGCAATACTACTCGCGTGCAGTACTTGCTGATCCTGCTGATGGAGAAATAATTTCGCAATATGCTAAGTTGGTGTGGGAACTTCATCATGACCAAGATAAAGCAATGTCTTACTTTGAGAGAGCAATCCAAGCTACACCAGAGCACAGGTTAGTATCGATTGCCCGTCACAATATTGAATTGTTCATATAATACTGTGTAATGAAGTTTCAGCATTGTAAAATATACATTGGATGGTGCTTGAGGACCCATGTCCATTGAACTATACGTTACATCGACTCTTCTATATTTCTAAAGTACCGGTGTAAGACACCTGACACGTAGATATACTTCGTTGAACATGTGCTCTTCAAGTATGCCCAATTAGTCAAGTTTACTATATATAACTATACGTAAATGTTAGTTTGTAAACACTATTTTACCCTAAAAAGATGAAAGTATTTAGGAAATATAAAATCTGGTTGTATCCTAGTGTCTTTGGATATGGGAATTAGATGAATCTAGACAAACATACCCACGTGACACCCATCCGAGTCCATGTGATGTGACATAGGCGCTGCTAATATAATCACAACCAGACAATACCAGATGTCTCTTCATGGGAAAAAATTTGCACATTTCCCAATACCAGATGTCTCTTCATGGGAAAAAATTTGCACATTTCCCTTGTTTTGGGATTTGCAAGAAGGGTCAATGGCCTGTTTAGTGCAACTTTTCTTAAATTAAAAGTTGATAATAAAAACGCAGCTAAAAGCATTCATCCCCCAACTTTCAAATGATTAGGTTTTTTTGACTTATTTAAGTAGTTTTTGCCTCATAGGCTATGAGCAGGAGTAGCATCAAGCAATCTGATATAGATGCCCAAAAAAAAAAACCTAGAAACAGCTCCAATAAGCTGTACCAAACAGGGAGAATATCAAAGTTTCTTCATGTCATCCTGTGTTTAGTTTTTGTTCCTGACATACAGTTTTGGTCAATTTGTTTCTTTGCTTTCAGCCACGTTCTTGCCGCATATGCTAATTTCCTCTGGCAAACAGAAGAGGACGAGGAGGAAGATGGTGCAGCGCAAGATCACATTCAAGCACCACTTCTTCTGGGAGCAATGACTGCTGCAAATGTCTAACTTTTACATTGCAGACAGATTAACAGCTCAGTCACAAATGTAATGTTTCATAAGTATGCAAATTTTCCTAGAAATAAGCTCAAATTTTCCTAGAAACAAGCACAATGTGCAAATTTTCCTAGTGATTTCAATTGAGGTAATAAAAAATTTCCCAGTAGGTGTTCTGATCTGTTTTCACATTTGTTGGACAAAACCATTCATATGTTATTAGAAGCTGAAATCTTATTAAAATATATCATATTTCTGACTTCCTACATTTTGTTGAAATATTTGAGATGGTATCTACATGCTGAGATTTACACTTCATCAAGTGTTTCTTCTTGGCAAATGAAAACTGATAGTGAGTTGGAATATGGGTTCAAGATATTTCAATGACTTCAGGACGCTATGAAGTGATACATTCGTGTTTGTGTTATTCGTGAATGTCATGACACTTTGAAGTGATACATGTGTTTGTGTTATTCGTGAATGTCATTGTGCTTAGATAATGGTCACTATTTCATGTAAAATTTGTGTACCCATCCCGCCTACGAGGACAAACTACATGGCGAAAACTTTTTTTACAGCATGACCTGCAAATCCAAGGAAAACAGCATGTGCATCCACAGTTGGAACAAAGGCATTCTGAGGAAAAGCAATTCCTTGTGTGTTGGCCCCAACACTTCATCTACAACAGGTTGAAGCAATCTGGGTTCAGACCAGTATCATGTGTACATGTATATACAATTTGCAACATTTGTGGTTAAGTGCTCAGTTTGTTCCGCAGGAATAAATAAATAAATAAATTGGCAAAAAGAATTTCGACAAAGAAATTCTTGCAAAAACTGTTTATCTTATGTTTTGTTGCATCCTTGAAACTAATTGACTAGTTTTTGTATTAGTGGTGGGAATGGTGAGGAGGTGGAGGTGGTGGGGCTGGTTATGGTGGTTGTAGTAGTGTTCTAGCATTGATAGGACTTCAATTTAGAAAATATTTTTCACCTGAAATGTTTTTTACCTTTCAAAAGTGAAATATTTTTTGTCCAAATAAACTTGTTTTTCGTTAATTTTTATTTTTTGTTGTATCAAACATCACAAAAATGCAAAAATAAAGGATGGGTAATAAGATCAAAAATGATATTATACCTTCAAAGTTTATATAAAGCTCAAAATATTATCATCAAACCAGACAATAAAAATGACATAAAACCTTCAAAGCTTTCTGTTGAAAAAACCACCACACAACTGGGAAGATTGAATATATTACAACCAGGAAAAGCAATAAAAACATTTTAAAATAATAATAATAATTTATATAAAGCTCAAAATTCCCCAAACCAGACAAAACTTCAATTTAGATAGAGCTCAAAATTGCAAATTGTTACATTTCAAATTAGTAAGTCCACGAAAGAAAGAAAAAAATGAGATTCCAAAACTTTCCCCCAAAAAAATTGCTATGCATCTTCCTAGAGCATCTATTTGAAACGCCTACTTGAAATATATGGAGGCCTTGAGACCCATAAAGACAAATTAGCTGAACCCAAATAACTTAACACAAAACTTTCATACCCAATACTTGAAAAATAACTTGGCACAAAACTTTCATACCTGATACCTGAAAAATAACTTGGCGCAAAACTTTCATACCCGATACTTGAAAAGACTACTGACTACTGAGTCGTCCACTCTGACTGGTGCTGTCCACTTCTAGACACTTGGTTGCCCGAAAGCCCCCTGTCTTGCCGGGGAGTGGGTCGGTAGAAGCCATTTCCTCTGGATCTGTTGTAGTCACGATCACCTCCGTCCTGACCATTTCCCCCACCAAAACTCCGAGCACCAAAACGACCCCTTGGTGCTTCTGTTTGGTAGCCACCCCTGCCTCTACCCCGTCCTGTTCAAATCAACCAATTATAACAAAGTACAAACCAAACCAAGCCTTGTCTTGCAAGGAAGTGGGATCAATTGTTTTATGATATTACATAAGTTATGCAAGCATGTACAAGTTCAAAACGGATACAAAAGCATAGAAAGGTAGAAGGTAAGAATAATATTGTGGAAATGAAAGATTTATACCTAAATAACACTTGGGCCATGTTTGGATGGAAGAAATAGAGGGGTGGAATGAGAATCTCATTCCAAGTCTCTTTCATTTCATTGTTTGGGTGTGTTCAAGAATGGGAATATGATTCTAATTCGGTTACGAAGGCTGAATGAGATTTATCAATCTAGTGGAAATCGTGTTCTCACATCCCCTGTGCAAGTCTCGCATTCTTGGAAGAATAAGACTCATTTGATGGGCCTACAAAATTTTAAATTTTATCATAATCCTGCTATAGAGCACGGATACTTCAAAAAGGAAGAAGTATCCGTATCGTATCCGTATTGGATACCTATACTCCTAAGATAATCGTAGACACGTATCGGATACTTGTTAAAAGTATCAGATACTTCTCAATTATTTTTTCATTAATGTCACATTATTTCTAATATTTTATTTAGTTCTTTGATAAGAGGAACATAATAAGAGTTAAAGTAACAGAATTTATCAAATCGATTCATTATTGTTTTATGGATGTCTCCTATAACTACATAAAAAGTAGGGCACTTACCAATCAGTCCTATTAACTAAACTTATTTACCTACAAGTCCTGACTGATAAATTTATCACTGTAAATTATTTGTAAAAACAAGAAAGATTTATCAATAAGACTAATGGGTAGTAAGCCCCAAAAGTAAGATCTATTGGTAATTTACCCTAAAAAGGTAAGGATTAAAAAGATAATATAACAATAGGAAAATTAAATATCAATAAATAAATAAATAAGCACATAAACTTAAATACAACGTTTTTACTAGTACCAAAGGGAAAAACACATTGATAAGTTGTGAATTGTTCTATTATTGTAATATAAACATATTAAACTTGATATTGAAATGAAATACTTGCAAGACTTATTGAAAATTTACAAAGTAAATAAGCAACTGTCTTAAATTATTCTTAAAGGTTAGTGTTTAGCATTATTAAATTATGTGGTTTCTCAACATTTTTGAGCTTATGTATAAGTGTAACTCACTACTAATAATTCTAAATTTTTTTTTACAAACATATCCTAACCGTACCCGTATCTTATTTTTTAAGATTTTGACATATTGACGTATCCATATCGTATTGTATCCATATCTCGTATCTGTATCCGTGCTTCCAATAATCCTGTAAAGGATTTCTAAACAAACCAAATACTTGAATTACATTAACACGGGAATGTTATTACTAGTAATTGGGATTCCTGGTAATAGGATTCCCATTCCTACGATCTAATTCATGTCAGTCAAACATAGCCTTACTGTCATCACATGATTTAACTAAAGTCAACAATACCTTATCCAAACAATTTGACAGGTTAGTTTGATGACTCATCTTGCCAATCCGTTTTGCCAAGGGCCAAAGTTTTAGCTCAACCCTACATTATCATTTAGGTTTTACTTTACTATTTCAACCTATGTTGATTTTAGTGTGCATTGCACACCAACCAATTCAATTTTCTTTACTTGGTTTCACTAATTATATTTTGCTTTATCATTTTCTCAAGAAAAAAATAAAATAAAACAATTATTCTTCTCTAATATTTTCTTTTTCTCTGGCAACATATGCATCTAATCCCCTTTCACATCTAGTTTCTGACATTCTTCAAAGTAATCTATCTAATCCCATTTCCCATCCAATTTTTGAACCCAATTTATAGAATGGAATGCCCAAACAACATAAATTAACCCAAAAAACTCGAGACAGAGAGTTGATATGGAAATATTGACTATCTGTATGAGAACTATAGAAAAATTGAACGGATGCAATTAAGCAATCAAATATGTAGTACCAAAAATTAAAATGTGGCCAAATAAATGATGACATATCAATGTACTGCTAGTTCATTAACTATCAGAAAACTGTCCTGTTTGACAAAAACTGATGAGGATGATTTAAGTACTTACTTCCTCCTCGAGATGCACTGATTCTGTTTGCTCTCCGCCCTTCAATGAATACTTGTTGTCCAGCTATCTGAACCGTAGAAGCCTACAATACAGATTAAAAGAACCCAAGGGCCAACTTCTATATCAGAATCAAGGTTAGGAATCATAATTCAAGGGATACCAAGTCTGGTCCACAACAAGAAATTTTTATACCCCAACCAAAAATTTAAAAACGAAAATAAAAAAGGGGAAAGAAAGAGAGAAAAGGTAAATCAAATCCTCAACCAATGTAATCAGTGCAGAAAGAAAGCTTTAATGTAAATTCCACCTAAAAAAAAGATGCAATGAACTTGAAAATTGGAACTTGACAAGAAAAACTTGACATGACCCAATGCAAAATTAAAGCTCACAAATAGAACAATAATTTGTATGTCAATTGACAGAGAACATGATAGAAAAACATAAGAAAACTGAGCATTCCTTCATAACTAGAATGGTAACAAAATTTCCATTATCCAATAGATTAAAAACATCATGCATGGAAGATATGGAATCACTAGCTAAAGGGCAGAGAACACAAGGTTTTCCATGAAATTTAATTTTTCAGCGAAATTAACTGAAGAATACAAGACTGCAATGATCTCTGAGGAGACATATATTCAAACCTTGATTGCATTTTGAACACCAGTGATATCTTCAAATTCAACAAACCCGTAGCAAACACCAATATCCTGCACATCATCATGAGCAATGACCACATATTAGTTTCCTCCAAGTCAAAGGTGAAAGGATACATACAAGAGGGAAACTAAAAAGAACAAACCTTTCGGTTTCTAATGGCCACAGCATCAGGCTTGAGTTTGCCAAATATCTTAAATTCCTCCTCAATTTCAGAAGCAGACACAGTAAATGGCAAGTTTCTCACATAAACTGACTTCACTTCACCTGAGAACATTCAGATATAAAAAAATAATAATCAGGGAACAGAATCCAAAGCTACCACACATGTAAGTAAAGATAAAAGCTACATAAATGTAATTATGGTCTTTTCGAGGAAAAAACGGAAAACAAAAACTCATTACAGAACAAGCCCCATAGACATTTTTATCAAACTAAAACATCTAATTCCAATAGGCTTCTTGGACACATTTAACAGAAACATGGTGTAAGATACAGGTAACACACGAAAGGAATGTCTACCTTCATCCTCCACAGCTGAAACCTCCTCTGCAGCCTCAGCCCCGGAACTTTCTACAGCAATTGATGATGCTACAGACTGCTGAGCAGGCAATTCTGGTACATGATTCCATTCTGAAGCGGGAGGTGTGGACTTGTTAAAAGAGGCCTGAGGAGGTGCTGATGTTGCTGATTGTCCTTTAACAACCCGCAACTTCCAATGACAATCAAGCAAAATGTCAGTTGCTAAGTAATATCAATCACTATACGTAATGAATACTAACACGATTACTTTACGATCAGAAATTTTTCAAAAATTCATGGAGGTGGTAATCCAAAAAAAGGTAAACAGTACTCCATGGGAATCATGATTAAGGAAAAAGCTCACTGGCACTTGAGTGAAGAGATGAAAACAGGAAAAGAGGAAGAACATAGGAAAGGGAGACGTAGAGGTAGGTGCCCTGTGAGTTGAATAAGAATAAAAATAAAAATTGTGCAAGGGATAATTCTAGTTACTATTCTGCAACATGGTTCTGTACAAAAGAAGGTTTTGGGGTAAGGGGGAATGTGGCATCATCCTCTTTTTGCATTCTGATTGCAATTAGCTTATCATTGAAGCAGTAGGTAATAACTTGTTTTTTCAACAAGGGTAAAAACCTTTTTTTTTTTATATATAGGGCATGAGCTAAATAATACATACAATGGAAGCATAAGTGCGCTTTTGGGGCTCCCCGACAGGTTCCTCAGAAGGAGCAGACAGGTGATCTGGTACGGGGCTCGTTGAACTTTGAAGTGTACCATTAGACTCTGGAAAATTGTCTTCAAGGATGCTTTCAGCCTCAGGCGTGTGCTGCAGCTGTTGCTCTGAGAAACTGTAATTGTCAACTGGACCATTTTCTTTAACATCTGCAGGAGCCACAAACTCCCTGGCCTGTGTTTCTCCACCCAGCATGTAATTGGATGCTGCAAAAGCCATTATTGCCTTTACCAAATATTTAAGAAACAAAGAATAACTTTCTAGTACGTATGTGAAAAAGAATGAATGACAAAATAGACCTGCAAAATTGAAGACAGTCATTTTATAACTAAATTAAATTACATAGAATCGCATAGCACAGTTGGTTATGTTATATTACATTTCAACCATTCACCACTTATTTTTTCCTTGTTTTAGGCAGGGCACTTCTATAGTCTTGAGTGATTGAGTTGCGGCCTCATTCCATTTTCAGTTACTTAGCCCCAGGAAAAATAAAATTGTGTACATTCGAGTAAATCCATTTTTTTAACTGATCAACAATCTCGCAATGAAATATATCCAAAGGAATTTTATGAACACATTACAAAATAATTAAATTGCTTTCTTCCAAAAGATGACTGGAAAATTAAGATTTTCATTCCTAGTGACACAAATCCTCTCAAGATTATGGAGGAGCAGGTAATTGTGGCAATTCTCTAGAAATACAGGCTCAAACATAATACCTGGTTCTCGAATAGTAGCTGAAGCATTTAGTTTGGAATCAAGATTGCTCTGGGCTAAATAGGCAACTGGATGGTGGTGAAGAGGTTCATCATCAATAAAGTGAAAGATATCATTGAGAACAAAGAACCCTTTCTCTTGTGGCGCAAGGAAGAAAGTCTGCACAAATTTCCTCCTGCCACTGAAATCTTTAGTATGCACAGATCCAGAAACCAACACAAGAACACCTCCATTCCAAGAATCAAGGGAATGCGCTGTCTTGATTTCTACTCCAGTGTAATTGAGAGACATAACAAGTGTATGGATTTGCTGCCAGAAAGAACGACAGAAGAGTGAACCCAAAATGTTTATTACTTGTTACCACTAAAACCAGAAGAACTGAAAAATGCTATGGAAATATGAAAGTCAAACCAGCAAGAAAATGCAACCAAGAGTTGGAAGGAAGGATTTAAGAAACCGGACAAAGCAACGAAATTATGGAGCATATTACTCCTGTGAAGAAGTGAAATTGCTACAAGGCATATATTTGAGCTTATATTTAAAGCTTTCACTGACTACATAATAATATATTAATTACAGTAACTTAGCATCATTAGGCAATTATAATACTTGATTAGATATTGAAATCATTACCACAAAAGTTTTTGCAGATGTCTTACTTGGACAAGCACATAACAATGAAGATAATTTGGAAGATAACCTGACATCAGCAAGCTACCTGGACACCTGCTTGAAGTAAACTAGGATAGATCTCATTCTATGCCTGCAACTTCATAAGTAAGAGTCCAATTTTGTATTCACTACAAGTCTTTTTTGCTGCCTGTAGCTAGCATGGACAGGTCATTATTATCTGATCAAGATGAATGTCTTTGCAATTATTAATTAATGTAGCATAAGCAAAGTGAGAGACCATTGAGCTCACATACCAGAACTGTGTTGCATGGATGCTTCTACTTTCCCCAGTTTACCGGTTAGAGACTTAGATATGTGGGATCGTGGTTATCAGAAACCCGATCTGGATCTTACGATCCATTTGAGTACAATCAATCCGAATCGTGTAAAAAATTCCTTATAAGTAGGATCATTCGAACCTAGCAATGGGATCTTATAGGATCATGGAATCCCAATCCAAATCCGATCTTATCTGATCCAATTTACAGGCCTTATTTTGTATTGCATGACATTTTATTGTAAATTTTATGTTTGCTGTCTAAATACCAATTTATGTGGTCAAAATAAATAATAAAAAATTTACTATTGAATCAAATAGACTAAGAAAAACAAACATTCAAATATTGCAGTAATTTAAGAAAATTAACTAGTCGGAAAAACAAACTTAGCTTTATCGGAGTCTAAGAAGGGTAAGATAATTGCAACTTAATCCTAATTTTTGGAGAGATTATTTTTATGACTCGAATCCGCTCCACCAGGGATGCTAATGACAAACCTTATCATTTGGTTAAGCTGCTCTTTTGAGTTCTTAATCTATTTTCATATTCAACTTTGTTAAATATTTTTTCTTCACTTTTTACGCATTATTGTAGATTGTAAAGTATTTGTCATAAAATTCTTCATCTTCACCTTTTTTGATGAAATATAAAACTTTTACCATTGAATTTTCTATTATATAATATTATATGTACATTTTACATGGAGTATTATGGGTATGTTTGGTTTGATTTTGAGAGAATAGTTTTTAAAAATTGTTTTGGAGAGAGTTTAGAAATTTTTTTGGTTTGTTTGGTTGTGTATTTTGAAAGTAGTTTTGGAGTTTGGAAGTTTGAAATAATTTGATATTTTGTTATGATTGAGTAGATGTGTGTGAGCGAAAAAGTCATTGAGAATGAGAGAAAAGAGAGAAAAAGTGATTGATTGATAAGTAAGAGAGAGAAAGTGATTTTAGAAATTATTTTAGAAAATTTACAAACCAAACAAATTTTTTTTAAAAATATTTCCAAAATCACTCTACAAATCCAAACCAAACATACCCTATATTTTTCACAATATCTTCACTTCTTTTTAATATAATATAGGCTCATTTTGTGTATACTTTTTAAGAAATATTTATTTAAATTAAATTATTATGTAATTTGTCTTTTTCGGTAGGATCTTACGATCATCGATCCGATTCTACGATCCGATCCTATAAACACCTCCAACAATCCAACGTAGGATCCTGATTTTGACAACCTTGTGTGGGATATGTGTGGGATATGTCTCCAAAACCCATACCCAATTTAGATACTTAAATTCTCTAATTTTATATGACATTTGAAGAAGAATATATTCAAATTTGTTAGTAAAAATATATTTTTATCATCTCATACAAATGAGAGATATAAATTCCATATCTTCCCTCCATTCCATTTAATTTGAAGTACATTCCTAAATAATTTACATATTATCCAATGTTGTTAATACCATAAAGATCAACGTACCATTTTTGAAATGGTACATACCGGTGCATTCCAACATAACGTTTTGAATTTATCATATATTATATATATATATTTTTTTTTGTAATTATTTTTTTTTACTTAGATGCATATATTTTTACTTCTAAAAAAATTAATTGAGATGGCCATATTTTCTTACTATATATGTCTTGTTTATTATTTGATATAGTAGATTTACAACTATTAATACAATGGTTCTACATGAATATTATTAACATCTATGGTAAGTGGTAAACAAAATGTGTGAAAGAAATATGGTAAAAGTAAGTGTCACTTAATCTTTCATATAAAGAAAAAATAAAATAAAAAAAACAAATAAAAACAATAAATGAGGAAAAGAGTTGGCAACTAAGAAGCATGAACACAAACAAGTGACACAACACGGCTGCGACACAAATACATAGACACGGCAACTTTCAAAAAATGCAAGACACGATATGTGGGGAACACGCACATAATATACAATTTTTATGTTTATTATATGTCATATATATGAACATATCACTCAACAAGGGGAAAAAAAATGCATCATAACTCTAATTTCTATAAATTTACATTATTTTTCTTTCAACATTGTATCTTAAGTAATTTTGTTCAAACTTATAATTAATTTCATGTATGTCCAAACAATGGACACGTATGTCCTCCAAGTATCCGAAGAGTGTCCAGGTCTCAAATTTTTTAAAAAAAAATACGACACGTTTAGACAAATGTTGAACACATATCGGGAAGTGTCCAACTAGTGTCAATGTCCAGCATGGACACAACAAGAACACACCACCTTCTTAGAAGTGTCTATACTTCTTAGGTTGGCAGTCTTTTAGAGTGTAGATTCAAGGGAGTTTTTTTTAAAACTTTTTTATTAGCTTTTGTCATTACTGAAATTAGCAACTTTGGTCAAGTCAAAAGTTGTATATAGATTGTATGATTATATATATAGATTCTATACATCTTCCTTTCTCGCACTATTGTAAAACCACACCACCCATTCTCATTTCTGTTTATACCAATCTCCATTTCATTCTCTCTTCATCTCTTTCAAAACCAGTATTGTTCCGTATCGAAACTAAAAAGAGGCTGGTACAGTCGAAAAATGTCAGGATTGCCCAGATCGACAGACCAGCATTTTAAACAAAACGAAACAGAAGATCAGGTGTTCCATATTTTCGATGAAACAGTACACCTCAAGTTGTACCAGCCGGTATGGAATAGGATTCATAACATTGATCTTATCTAAGAATATTATACAATATGCAATACATATAAGTGTTTAAAGACGTATCCCCGTACCTCTACCAACTTTTAGAATATATCCCAATATCTTAAGAATTAGGTTTAGTAATACATGCCGCCTAGACATACATCCGCACCCAATACTCATACCCGAGTCCATCTAATATACTACGTGCATGAGAAGCAAACACTAAGAATATTCTAACAAATAATGCAAAGACAATGTCCATGCATTTTAAGAGTATTTCACAATGCAAAACTAATTCAGAATTCTTTGAACCTGCTTAGCTGGATGAGTGTTAGAATCAAAAGTTCATAGTAAAACAATAATCATACAATTAAAATTAAAAATTAAAAAAAGCCAAAAATGTCTTTGTACTAATATGACTAATGGCCATATTAAATGTAAATTTCCATCCATCTGCCCCATCAGAAACTGAAAACCACTGCTCCTAGGACCAACAAATTTCGCGTTAAAAAGTAATATGATAATTTTTAAAAACTCTGATGGGTTGGGGTTCGAGGGAGGACAAGAAGCAAAGAAAACCAAGTGTTAAGGAATAGAGGAGGGAATATGTGTATCATTGTGTCAAGAGTAAGGACAAGGCAAAATACTATAATTTTTTTATAATAATTAGAAAAAGGAAAAAAAAAAAAAAGGCACTAGGTTTTTTTCCTGTCTACTCAACATTTTTTTCTAACAATTGAAAAAAAAATTCAAGCATGCACATTCAACAATAAGTCAACTCCCCCCTTTAGGGAGATCCATCTTACATGGGTAAACAAATGACAGCTGAGACATCCATGTCTCACTAATTTAAAAGTCAGAATTCTACAAGTAGGTGCTTTTGTGAAATAAATTTCTAAGAAAAACCACTCTCTTCTACGGGCTGCCCAAATATGGATCAAGCCATGAAGATGATAGATGGTACATTTAATAATGATAAAAATAAAAGGAGCATCTCACCACAGCATTAAGCCAAAGGATTGTTCATTGTCTATGATCATTAAATTACCTTATTCCACGGATGGCTTTACGTTGGGGCAAGTGGTGGCAATGGCCCCACTAAACTTTGAAGAAAAAAAACATTTTATATTGTGAAATATTTTGATAAATATTGTTTTATACAACTTGTCCCAACTGAATTTGTTTATGCCCTCATACCACCTCACCCACTTAGATTTGTACATTTCTATCTCTCTCTCTTTTTGTAACTTTTCCCATCTTTTATCTCTCTCATCAAATAGAGCAATGTGAAATTGGAGAAAAACTGTAATCTGCTCCAATGTCCTAAGGAAACCCACTAGAATATTAAAAAAATTAAGGATTAATTCATACATGACTTAAATTAGTGTCATGTTACTATTAATTAACATTATTTGTGTTAATTTTGATTTTAACAAATCAGGTCACTATTAAGTTGTATTGAATTATTGATTTGCTAGTTTACTAAATTGCACTTATGTTAGGAGCTTCATATTTGGAGGGGGAGAGGGGGGAATTTATTGTCAATTAGAAGAAAAAATATGTGCATAATTCCACGTAAAAATTTTCCCCAACTTGACAAAAACCTTAGCTCCACCCCTGCCTTATTCTATAGCAGCTATAATCAAATGTAATACACAGAAAGAGGAAAGGAAATGCATATACTCACAAAAACTTAACCATAGGGTTTATCCCAATGGCCAACAACTATGTATCTTACTAGGAGATCACAGGTTCGACTCCCCTCCCACTCCAATCAAGCAGAGAGGGTCGGGGGACCTAGCCCCTTCAAAATTTTGAGGAAGTCCACTTTTATAATAGCACAATCTTCAAAATAAATAAAAATTCAATTCAACACCCAAAAAAAATTTAAAAATGCACTCTGTATGAGGGTTCCCATGCAAAATTTAAAGCCTCGTATAATGGCCACCTAAAAAATTTGGCCCCCTATTAAAAGGTTATTGGTACATTTTTTAAAAATCTTGCAATAAACTAGGAATATAGTCCATTTGATTGGTGTGAAATCATATTTCTTTTTGTTTTTAAAAAAAAAAATTGCTGAAAGAGAGTTAAATTGTGCTAGAGAAAAGAGATGGTTTCCTAAATTGTCCAACAACAGTCATTTTGTCCAATAATAAAATGAGGAGCTACAATCACAACTCATTTGACAATAAAGACACAAACAAGAAGATCCCATTCCATTCTTAACAAGAAAAAGTTGTCATCATTGGATTGCCAAACATCTGCCTCCAATTCTCATTCAAATATTCAAATCTACAACTAAAACCATAACTAATACACACATATAGAGAGAGAATCCTAAAACCCAATACCAGCATTGCCGTGGCCGTCTCTCTCGTGTTCCCATCAATACGAATCATTGTACTGGCATCACTGTAAAAGTGATGAACAAAATCAGGTTGGTGCTGAAGAACATGGTAGTACTGCCCAACAAAGTACGTCCCAACCTGAATTCAGAGCAAAATGTGATTTTTAGATAGAGAAAGCAAACACAAAGACACACACTTTTGTATATATTTATATATATATATATATATAGAGAGAGAGAGAGAGAGAGAGAGGAGAGAGGACCTGAGCAGCAGTGACGGGCAAGTGAAATGGAGTCGCCATAACCAGTGTGGAGAGGAAGGAAGGAACGAACCCTAAAACCCTAGAGCTCCAATCAAACCCTAGATCTGCAATGTGACTGAAGATCTGAAGAAACAATTACAATAATAAAACCTCCAAATCTAAAAGATTACACACCTACAGATGGAAAAACGAGTCTTTCCAGAGAATGAATAGGGAATCTAGCTAGAGAAAGAGGGGGTTTTTTTTCCGGGAAAAGATCTGTGGATCTGAGAATGAGATTTTGAGAGAAAAAACGAAAATATATATAAATAGATATACATATAGATATATATATAGAGAGAGAGAGAGAGAGAGAGAGAGAGAGAGAAAAAACAAACAAAAAAACTAAAAGTAGATTTGGAGAGGAAAAGTTTGTACGTGTCTGAGTATGGTCGCTTCATAGGGGAAATATTATATGGTGTTTTTTATGCAATTTTATTGGGTACCTAATTTGTTTGTTATTGGTTGAAAACGTGGAGTTTGAAATTTTGTGTTAACTTTTGAAAGATAACTGAACAAGTGGCATCCATTGCATGCTGAAAAATATTGTTCCAATACTACCAAATAATTTCATTATTTTGCTGGTGTGTTTTTGGGTCATTATGGCTTGGTTTGGGAAGTAGGTTGGCTTTTTGGCTTTTTGACTTTTTTGGCTATTTTAACCTGAGCTAAGGTTTGGGAAGGATTTTTTGGCTTGTTGGCTTTTTTAACTTTTTTTGTGAGAGAAGAATGTAATGATTATAGGTTGGATGTGATGTTTTGTTTGTTATGGCTAAAATAGTCTATTTTGTTTATTGTGGCTAAAATAGCCAAAAAAACCTGAAAATCAACTTGCCAAACAGAGGCATGACGTGTTAAATGCATAGCTCTAAAAAAAATAGCACTAAACCAAATGAAAAAAATATATATATAAATACAACTATCACGTTATGGGGGGCCAACTCACTTAGAGCTTCCCTAGAGCTTCATATTTAGTGTTCCTAAGTATTTTTGATATTGTGATTAAAGCTTGGTATAGGGCTATTCGATTTAAGAAAATCGATCAACTCGAATCGCCTACACTTATTTGAGCGGTTTCACAAAATCATTAGGTCGAATGCAAGTTAGTATTTTCTTATGTTACAAGCAGGTTATGGATTTCACCTGTACCCGTACTCACCGACTTGCATCTTTATACATTTTTAAAAAAAAAAAAATCTAAACTGCCCGATTTTCTTGTAAATTTTATAAAAAGGAAAGATAAAGTTAGTGGCAAGTTTTTTTATCTCAGAATCTTTATCAACATTTGAGTTTTATGTTGCCTTTAAACAAAACTTCAAGGTTTGTTTTTGCAAATTATTATTATTATTTTTTTTCTAGATCACAAACAAGGGTATAAAACCTTTATTTTTTTTCTTTTTCGCCTTAAGAAAATTCTTACAAAAAGCAATGAGATTTTTTATAGAGTTTACGAGTTTGCAAATGATTTTATTTTATGAGTTTGGATAGAATTTGAAAACAATTTATTTTGATTCCCAGCTAGTTATTATTATTGCATTTAGTTTTTCGATAAATGTAAAAATTAATAAATAATTACTTTTAGATAAATTTAGGATTTTGAATGATTTTACTTTAATTGTGTTGTTGAGTACTAGATAGAAAATGAATTTCAAAAATGCTAGACACCTCATGTGAGATATTTAGTAGAATTTTTGGGATCTTTGGCATTACTCAATGAATTGTTAAATGAAAAAGTCCAATCTGCAAACCACCCGCAACTGTCTGCACATTTGTGAACCATATCCGCACAAATTGCAACCCGCACTGCAGACGGTTACGAGTTCAATTTTTTGCAAACCGCAAACATGCGAGCGAATCCAAACCGCAAACTGAACCGTCAAAAATCGATCCGCTAACACCCCTAATTGTGATGGATATCATATGCAAATGTAAGCTATGATTTAAATTTTAAAAAAATAATAATAATTAGAATAAATCATAAATACATTTTTTGAGATTTACTTAAAATACAAATTGTCCTATGTAATTCTCGAAAATACATCCATCCTCTTTACGTTTCTAATTGCATAACAAATGACTTTTTTTATTAATAAATCATTAAGACAATTAACTATTTTTAATGATGTTAAAAATATATTTCAATTAAAAATTTAAGTAATTTTATAACTATATTAGAAAGTAGTTAGGAATTTTGTTTTTTTTATTAGTTCCGTTAAATGAAATTTTTGACAATCAAGTAATTATAATTTCTAAAATTACTAGGACAATTCGTATTTTTACTAAATCTCAAGAGATATATTTAAAATTAACCTTAACTATAAAAGGAATTTACGTGTAAGTCCTAATAGATAGACTAGTCCAATAGGTCCTACAATAATTAATGGCGTTTTTCATCCAACACTATTAAAAAACGTTACTAATTGTTAATTTTTAGCAACAATTTAAAATTTTTGTCACAAAAAAAGTCATTAATTATAAGTTTTAGCGACAATTTAAAAAAATAATCACAAAACAACATCACTAATTTTCAACATTCAATGACAATTTAAAAAATTTGTCACAGGAAAAGGTCATTAATTGTAAATTTTAGCGACAATTTATAAAACCCGTGACAAAAAAAAGTCATTAACTGTCAATTTTTAGGGACATGCAAAACATCGTCACAAAAAAATTATTTTTAGTGATAATTTTTCTATTACTTTTTTTAATAGGACACTGAAAATTAAATCCAATTATTCGGACTAATTGATAATTTACCATAATTAGAAGCTCAGAAATGATACATCCCTCTACTTTGGGAGCTCTAAAAGAGCACTAATAATGTGGAAAATCAAAAATAAATAAATAAATAAGGTCAAAATATCACATCACATAATACCCACACACCAATTAGAATTATTAGAGCTCTTAATTTAGAGCTCTCAATCTCTTTTCTTAAAAGGTAGGACGCTGAAGCGATTGTATATTTTAACATTATGTTTAGATATTTAGGAGATAAGAGAAATGAAATGAAATGTTAAGTTAGAGAAAATAAAATAAAATAAATGATTGTAATTTCTCTTCTTTTTATTTGATTAAGTTGGAAATAAAGAAAAAATAATAATAATTTATCTCATATCTTATTTGAATAGATTATATTAAAGAAACAAAATAGAATAAATTCTTCCAAGTTATTTTATCAAAATAAGATTTTATGTTTTTATTTCTTTTGTTGATAGATGGACAATTTGGTAATACACAAAATTTAGTGATCTTTCCATTAATTCTCTCTCAATCTCTCTAGTTTTGGAGAGATTTAAAAAGTGGGGGAAAGCTTCTCTCCAATTTGTATCGGACTGAGGGTGTTGTTGGGTCTCCGTGGGCCTATCATGAAACTCGCATTGGTGATCTGAACCATTCAATGTGTACAGCTCATCGAGTATTTTATTCCAACAAAAAAAACACATTAATTGGATATCGATAGACATTTGATCAAATCACATTTGTGTTAACGGTAACTATGGTTTTAAAAATAAATCATAAATACAAATATGATTTGATCAAGTGGCTATCGATATTCAATTAACATAATTTTTTCTTAAGGATGAAGTACTCAATGAGCTCTACATATTCAACAGTTCAAATTATCAATGTGAACTCTGTAATGGACCGACAAAGGCCCACAACACCCTCTAGTTAGAAAATCCAACTGTCCCAACTAGAGAGAATCCTCTTCCTAAAAAGTAAGTTATGAGAGAAATAACTCTCTCCATTTTCTTCTCATTTTTCTCCTAGTTAGTAATCCAAACAAGTGATTAGGATTAAGTGAGATTGATTTCTTTTATTTCCTTTTTCTTTTCTCTTCAATCGAAACGAGCTGTAAAGTTGTGTTTGGATTATAAATTTGGATACAAATTTGAAGAGGATAAGAGAAAAAATAGATGAAATGTAATTATATTTCACCTACTTTTTAAATCTTTTTTCTTAATTTATATTTAAACTTATAATATAAACACAACTTAAGCTTTTTAAAGAGTAAAAGTTTTTTAAAGAGTAAAAGTTTATGAAAAATTGCAACATGCAAATAATGTAAAAAATATATTATACGAGACAGAATATTTCATACTCATACAATTGATGCCGTCTATAGGAATCTCAGAAAACTTACCTTTTGATCAAGTTTTCCTTCAGCAAACTTTAATGGCGCACAACGAAGATTTGTCGCATTCCATTATTGATGGCTAGACACCAAAAGGAAACAGGAAGCGTGATGATTTGTCTTCTGTTTCGCCCATGGCGGATTTGGACCCTCAGTGATGGAACCCTTATAGGGGTACGTGAGAAAACGGGGGTTTGAACCCTCGCTACTCCCAAAGCCTAGATGGATAAGGGCAACGAACAGATACCCAAGTTTTAAAGGATCACGTGAGGAAGCAAGACGAGTTGATAAAAGAAGATGGTGGCAGACATGGAGGCTTTGAAACGCCAAGTGAGAGGCAAAGGTGTGATAGGAATAGAGATCCATGAAGGATGAACGCGATCTCATGATTCTAGAGATCAAGATGGACATGTCACACCTACACATTTTGGGAGTAGAAGTTTCAGGACAGGAGACTCTCATTCGAGGACTTCCATAACTCACCACTCCAGGTCTAAGAGAGCGAGGTCTGAAAGATCTTACACTAAAGGTAGTAGTTATCACATGCGCACACTCATCAAACATCGTCTCGATATAAAGAACTACCCAGATTGGAAGATTTGCAGACTATTTTGGAGAAGATGGCACAAAAGAGAGAAGTTGCCCAAGCACGGGATCCCCAAAGGGTATCTGTGTAGGCACCCCATTTGTGACCGTCCTCAAGACTTGGACGTCATCGTTTGAACACTCGATGATCATCCATGCTTGTGTTCGTTTTGAGTTTCTGAAGGTCTCGGCTGTGTGCCTTGCCTTGGAGCCTCTCAACTTGTCTATTTTGTGCTCGGCTATGGATCAAGAGCTTGTGACTTTGTTTCTGAGGGAAGAGGGTGGCCTGCTGGCCATCCCTACAACCCATCGGCCAGGCCCTGTGCCCATCGGCCATGCCCTCTTTCCATCGGCCATCAGTGGTGGCCAGTCGGCTTCACTGATGGCCGATCGGCACCTTTAATGGCTGGTGTAGACGTCCCCGAACGTCCCGGGAGGGAAATCCCGTTTTGTTCATTTGGGGTCACTACAGTTCAGGACTCAATGTCACGGTCCTGTATTTAATCTCGCAGAGTGCAATGCAAGACCGATGAATCATCAAAGA